TCTAATGAAGAAAATCAACATTAATAAATATTTAACATAAATTAATATTCTAAATAAATGTGGATTAATTTAAAATGTTTGTTTGTAGATGGAAATTTGAGGTCAGCTGTTTGGTGGTAAAGCTTCAATTTTTTTTCTTGCGGTCTGAACTCTTGCAGATAAAATAAGTGTCAAAGTATTAAAGATATAAATTAAAAGTCTATGCTGTAAAATTTAAATAAAGAAATGTATGATATAGCATAACATTATGAAATCAATTAAGTTAAAAAAATCAGTATTTGTGTTGAACCTTTGATCCCTTAAATACTTACAAGTCACATATTCAATCTCCGGCGTGGGAAATTGTGTGACAGATTCTCATCAGGCGAAAACGTCATTGGCCATTGCCCTTTAGCTTTGATCAACATGCGGCAGACGGTTTACTCGCATAACGCACTATCAGCATTTTTTTAATTCCTTATATCGCACGAGTGGTTTGTTATCTTTAATTTTTAAGGCTTGATAAAAACACTAAAATTTTATCTGATTTTAAATTCACTTCAGTTCAAAAGTTAAATGCGCCTGTATTATTGTTTACTTTTTAAGTTTTTAATTATACATAAAATAATATGTTGTTGATAAAAAGAGGCCTTTCTTGCCCTTTCTATCCACAAATGGCCTAGTTATGTCAAGTCAAAACACAACATTTAATTATTTTATAATAATAAAAGTGGCTCAATTTTTTCAGAGCAACCAAGCTTATATTTGTAGCTTTGCTTGAATAATTAAAGAAATGCTATTTGTAAAAATAGTTTGAATTCCGTCGAAAAAAAATTATACTGATTCTCATTTTAGCAATTGTATGAAAATTACTAGGCTGCTGGCGTTAGATAAAAAATATTTGCCTCAAAGAAGGTGCGCTAAATCGATTATTTATTTGTTGCACGCTCAAGGCGTCTGATCAATAAAATAATTATACACCACGTAGCGGCTTCTTATTCTGTGTGTGGGAACTTGAAATAAAATTCAATGCCCTACAAGTATAGGTGGTCCTATCCAAAAAGCAATGACCGCGCACACTTGTGCAAATATATAAAAAGTTATTCAAACAGAAAATACAAACTTGTTTTTCTTGTTCCTGTGTAAAAAAAAATAATAGTACTGACCATTATCAATTATAAATAAAGCATTAAGTAAAGTTCAAGCAACTGTTGCGGAGGAATCAAGTATCAATTTAACAAAATTCGTTTATTTCGTATTAAACCGTATTAAAACCATTTTATAGTTGATAATATTTTTGAGACAAGTTTTCTTATAACTTCGCACATCTGTTTAAGCTATTTCTTGTTGTAATTTAATATTTATAAGAAAATTAGATTTTATTTTTAGTTGTAAATAATGGCACCAGCACTGCTTTTAGGTAGAAAAATACGCAAAAGTTTAAAAAAAAAATTAGGACTAATATTGAAATAAAATTTTGTCAAGGCAAACGTAAATAAAATCTTTATTATACAATGAACTGAATAAAATATTCTTACTGTATCTTCACTTTTCTATAAAATTGTTGCAATCGTTGTTACTAAAATCAAATTATTTTCAAAATTTTAATTTGGTATTTTTTACTTTTTTTTCATTGTCAGACAATTTCAGGCTTTTATACGTTTTGCTTGCAGGTTGCTCATGGTTTATCGCTCTAATTGAGTTTATTGTATTATTTCTTTTTCAAGTAAGAGTGCGCTTGATAAAAAAAATTGTTACCACAAATATTAGCCCACGACAAAAGACGCGTGACGCATTATAATTTCGGTGATAATGGACGTTTCGAGAAGCGCGTGCACAACAAAGGCGCGGCGCGCGATTTCGCAACGCATTTGCACGGGCCGCGGGTTTTTTTTGTTAACCGCGGCGGCGGCGGCGGCGGCGGCGGCACCGCTCGCGCCTGCAAGCAAGATTGGCGAATGCAGCCTAGGCCAACGCTAGACGCGTAGAGAGGCCGGCGGTGGGCGACGGACGACTGCACCACAGCTTCGGTGTTGAGCTGTTATCGCGAAAAGCGGCAGAAAAGAGCCAAGGCCAGCGATTGCCAGCGCAGAAGGTCATGTGACTCGCGCTCAAGGGCACCGCGGCCGCGCCAACCGTCCCGACCCTAGCCCTGCTCTGTGCACCGCACGTGTGCTCCGAAACCGACGCCGCTCCATAGGACACAAAAGCACTTCTTTGCCTTTTCTGCGATTTGTTTATTATTAAACACCGCGAGCGACTTCTTGCCTGTATCGCGCTTTGTTCCTGCTGATTAGTGCGGAAATGATATTTAACACCGTTGCTAATTTTAATTCACTCACCATCATTTAATATTTGTTTAAAATTGGATTTCATTACCAAAATTTTAGCTGGTATAGCAATTTTTTTATATTACGCTGATATAGATATAAAATTTTACAAAAATCAATAATTCTGCAATTTAAAATATAGAAGAAAAGGTTTAAAGAATTTTTTATTTAATATATGTTCACATTTTAAACTACACATTTAATTTTAAATTAAATTAAATAATTATAAAGTATACTAATTTAACCAAGATTATATTCTTTATTTGATTTTTTTGCGTATAGCGGCAACTTCTAGATCTGGAATTATTTTATTTATCGACGAGTTCTTGGCACAGTTTATATAAATATTTTTATATTTATATATATTTTAGTTTCAAGCATAAACTGGCTCGTAAAGTATCTTTGGTCGCTGAGGAAATTTTTTTTTTCAAATAAAACTCCGATGCATTCAAAGAATATTATTATGCAATGTTAGAAAAACTTATATTATTATTATTTTTTATTTTTGAAGAAATGGAAATTTTATAGATAGAGTTAATTTTTGTTTAATTTCCTAAATTTTAAAAAAAATTTGTTGTTTAAATGGAAAAAGAAACCAAGAATAATAAAATCGCTGTATGTCTAAATGACGAATTAATGTTAAATAAAGTCTATAAATAAAAATGTATCTCTGCCTGGAAATTTTTTTCCTAAAATTCGGTTTGTTCGTTTGATGGTGTAATTAATTATAAACATAGCTGATTTACTTTGCGAACGATGAGATTTCACAATTTAAGCATTCTAGCTTACAATTATTTAAATCATGATTTGTTTTATAATTCAATAAATAAATCTTCAAAAAGCTGTTTTTTAAATATTTTGTTACTTGCAGATAACAAATTATTTGAATTTGTAAATTTTAAAATGAAAAAAATCGGTATTTAAAAAAATAATTTTTCGTTTTGTAAAGCTTATCTATCCACATCAAATCGAATTTGTTTTTCAAAATTTAAAAGGGCTCCGAAAAATGTTAATTGAATTAAATTTTGTTCATTGCCAAGAAATTAAAAATTAATGTTATTTCATTTGAAACTGTAATAATAAAAAAAAACATGTTTTAAAAAGTTATAAGTAGTTGTGATAAATAATGGATCCTCTTTGTTTTAAAAATAGCGAGGTCTAAATGGGGGCAGGCGAAAATAGTTAATCACGTAACGGATATACCGAGTTGGAAGATAAATCGAACACTTTATAGTGCAAATTTATATTAAAGTCGCTTACGAGCGCATTTATAAAAAAAATTCAATCTAAAACAAATTTGATGAAAAGAAAAATAAATTTTTATAAGAATAAATTCAATAAAATAACATTCCGGCAAAAAGCAACCTTGATAAATATAAGAGCCGTGAGAGAGAATTGTTGCGCGATTCCCGAATGAGTCTGGGGGGCAGAAATAGGCATTTGTTTTTTACGTGGCGCTGCTCTCGGGCGAGTGCACGTGTGTGATAAATACCTAGCCTAACACTTTTTGCGCTGCTTCTTGCTAATTTTAATGCTGGAGAGGAGGAGCGGGGGGCGCGAGTGAAAGAAAATTCGCGGCGAGAGTGCGCGCGTGCGAGCGAGGCGAGGGGGCAAGAGCCTCTGTGCAAAAGCAAGGCTAGTCGCGGCCGCCGCTCCACGTGTAGCGAGCTGAGAACAACTCTCGTTAGCGGTCAAATAGCTACGGAAGGCTCTCTTTGCAACAACTATCCGCCGCGAGAGAAGAGAGAGAAGAGAGGAGTCGAGAGAGCAACTCGCTCCTTCCTCCCCCCGTGCCGTGGATTCGCGAAAAACTCGGCACGAGGCTTCACCCCGCCCGCCTGCCCAGCAAAAATCCCAAGGCTACGCCAGCCCAATTCCCACAACGTTTATTAAAAATAAATAAATAAATCTTAAATTTTAATTTTTAAATGATTCCAATAAAAAAAAAATTTGCAGTCTCGGGTTGTAATCGCGACATTAGACAAATAATAACAGACATCGCGTTGAGGTAGGTGATTTCGGTTCTAATGCGCATATTCCTCATATCGATCCCGCGGGCTGCGCGACTTTTTGCGCGATTCGGGTAATTCCGCGGGGTCAATTTCGGGGGCTGGTCCGTCGACGGAAATCATAACAAGACTGCCGCGGTCCTTGACAGGTCGCGGCTGGGCGCGCGTGCAAGCAAAGTCCGCGCGAGTTAATTCCGCCCGCGGATCCGCCGCTGCGCAATGCCCCTATCTGCGGGCGGAGTTATGTTATTGGCTCCACGCGCCGCGCTTCAAACGTCGCAAGCCCGCGTTAGGAGCCTCCACGTGCCTCTTTTCGGTGAGCCCGTTGCCCTCGTACTCCCCCTTCCCCCGCACACGAGCTGTAGGTCGTTCATAGCAGCGGTGACGTCGCCGACGGCCAACCTAACTAATTAAAATGTACCCTAAAATTTTAACAAAAATGTTTATTTATAATTTTAAAAATTATTTTTCTTTATTTAATAGTTAAATAAAATAAAATATTGTGATTTTTTAAAAGATTTTGGTAATAATTAAAAGAGTTTCAAATTTGAAAACTCTGTCAAGTTGGCCAGGGTCGCAGCAGTCAATCCATGGGTGTTTGAAGCAGGAGGGCCGCACTTTTAGAGCGAGAGGGAGATAGCGAGATTTTATTCCGCGAAGCCAGAGAGGGGCGCGAGGGGAGGGAGCGCGTAAACACAGAGTTGGTTTCTCTATGCTAAGGCACTCTACGCGACACCGTGGGGTTGGTCAAGCTCCGCTTTTGATTGTCTAGACGTTCTCGGTTCCTCGCATCGCCACTTTATCCCGAACCCCCGTCGCAACACGTCGGCCCGACACTTGGTCTTTCTGCCCGCCGACCAAAATGCACCTCAGCCGACGCTGATCAGGTAAGCGCCGAAATTTCGCACTCGTTTCCGCCTTATCTCGCGAGCCGAAAATAATTGCGCGGCCCCCCCGGGTTTCGCAACGCGCACTCCCGAGCCTTATTTCGATTCAAACAATTATAATTTAAATTATATATTAAAATTAAAAATTTTATCCATTGGCGATTGCGAAAATCGCGTGTATGCAAGTGAAGGGCCCCGAGTGAAATTATTGCACGTTGCAGAAACGGTTTCTGCAAGTAGGTTGCACCGCGCGCGTCGTGTTACGTGCAACGTGCAATTTCTCTTTTGTGCAGCCAGCAGGAGAGAAACTGACCTAGCCTAGATTCGGCACAACCTGCGATCGGGGTCACCTTTGCCAACAATTTCGCGCATTTCCTGCTTCTTCACCGACGCAGAGACGCGCGCGTGACTCTGGCGATAAAAAAGCGCAACCTTCAAAAATTAAAAAAATAGAATTTGCAAAACCCCAAATAGAGGAATTAATTTGAATTATTTCAGCACCTTCGGATTTCGGGCGATTACGAAAAAAGTCCAAGGTTTTCGGCCAGTGAGGGAGGTCATGATTTATATTTTATTTGTTCAACAATCTTGATTAGATTTTCCGAGAGGGCTAAGAGCGGAAAAATGGAAGCAACATTTTGGTGTGCAAGTGAGGTCGCGGCGCAGGGGTTGGTTCGGGGGGCGGAAGGAATGGGTTAGGTCGGCGGCGGGACGCGCAGGCAGGGATCGGAGCAGCGAGCGAGGCCGCGAGTGTAAAGAGCCGATTCATGTGCTCCACGTGGAGGCTCCTAACCGGGCGCTGATTTGGCGCGGCGCGGCGCTGGCGGCGGCCTTAGAATCCCCGGCGGAGGCGCAGCCTCTTGCAGGGGGTCGATCGCGAGGGGGCCGTCGCGGGACGCACGCGCCGTGCCCGCGCGCGGCCATCAGCAGGGTCGAGGCACTGACCTGGCGCAACTGGAGGGGTCCTCGACTTTCTCCGGGCGCAGTCGGCTGCGTCGAAATTCGGGACTCGCGCGTTCCTCGGTTAAAATGCACTCGGCAGGCGGCGCCCGCTGCAGTTGCATTCGGATTTTCGGTGCGATAGGACCCATTTGCTCCGTCTGCTCTTCCGATGGCGCAACCACCCTCCTCCTCCTCCTGGCCAAAACGCCCGTCGAACCCCGACCAAGTGAAAAAGCTCCTCTGGCTAGACGGTAGGACCCGAAATCGAATCTTGAGCTTCAAATTAAATTTTTTTTTGTTAATTCTTTTTTTGCATATTTTGATCGTTTTTCTTTGATTTAATTAATGTATCAGAAAACTTTGATGAAATTTAAAAATTTTCATCAAATTTTTTTAAACAATTTAAAAAAAATTAGATTATTTCCTTTGGAATAAATAAATTCAAAAACTAGTTAAAATACCTTTTTTGCTGCTATAATGTTAAGTTAAAAGTTTTTCTCTTGAAACCAACTGTTTTTAACTCAGAATTTCTATCTAATTCTAATTTTAAGACAATTGACTGAATTGACTGAGGAGCAAGAAGCAAATTTTGTTTTAATTTCCGGAAGTTCTTATTATTATTTTTTTTTTAAAGCTTCTTCCACTTTCTTAACAGAAATTTAAGTCATATTATTTTGTTGAAAGGAACTCGATTTCTCTTTCTCTCTATCACCTTTTTGCATTTATTTTTCTTATCCAAAGTAAGCTACTGTTGATATTTCCGCATTTGCATGAGTTGTGTTTTAAAATCTTCTGATAGCGTTTTAAACCGAGTATTGAACAAAGTCGCAAAACTCGGTCATTTTGTCTATTCCAAAGACGTCGTTTGTCATCCGAGCAGCAATTTTTGCTATTTCCTCCGTTGGAGAGTGGCACGTGAACCTACTTTCCTCCGCCACACCCTCGGTACGCGCGATTTGCAAAGAGTGACTTGTACGAGCGCAAATTCACGCCGCGTGCATTCACTTGTCTCTGTACTTGGGCCGCATCACACAGTCTAGTGCTATTTCCTGAAAGTCGCATTTTCGAAATCCTCTGGATTTTCATTTGAATATTTCATCAAAAACCGTTTAAACAACCTATTTTGCCCAATTTGCATTAATATTTATATCAATTATAATTAAATTTGGCTGATTTATTTATAAATTTGTGTTTGTTTTGTTTTGCAGAATCACTCTGGAGCAAGGTGTCGGAGATGGTTGGTTATCTGCACGCAGCAGAAGGAACCACAAGTAACAGCGGGAAGCCCGTGGAAGCGGCGCCCGCACAGTCGAGCGTCAACAGCGTCGTTTGCAGCCCCGACCTGGAGGTCTTCGCGTCTGCGCCGTTCCAGTGCGCGCTGTGCCACAAGAGCTTCGCGCAGAAGAACACTTACCAGAACCACATGCGTTCGCACGCGGCCCCGACGGCGTCCACGGTGGTTCTGCCGCCCGCGTCCGCCATGCAGGCGCCCAACGACGCCGTCACCACGTCGACGGCGCCGACGTCCGCCGCCGCCGGCGAGGACCCATACCCGTGCACGATTTGCGGCAAAACGTTCGCGGTGCCGGCGCGCTTGACGCGCCACTTCCGCACGCACACCGGCGAAAAGCCGTACACGTGCGAGTACTGCCACAAGTCCTTCTCAGTCAAGGAGAACCTCAGCGTACACCGTCGCATCCACACCAAGGTGAGAAACGCCTCAAAAAGATATGAACTTTAGAAAAAACTACAACATTTAAATTAAATTTTATGAATAAAAAAAACCAGTTTATGAACTTTTTAAGTTTTAAATCATTTTCTATTAATTTAGAACCGAAGTATAGAAATTATTCGATTTTTCTAATGTTAAAAATTAAAATTTGTAATTAAATTTCAATATGTACTTTAACCTCGGATTCAACAGAATTTAAGAAAATTTTAAGTGATTTTGTGCAAAAATAAACTATTAATCAAATATTTAAAATCCATTCTAAATTTTTGAATGCAATCAAATTTTTCAAAAAGAAAAAAAATCAGTGCACAATTTTTTTGATTTTTAATTTAAGTTTCTAAAATTTGTATAATTTAATTAAATTAACATGATTTTTTTTTGTTCTCAGGAGCGACCTTACAAATGCGACGTCTGCGCACGCGCATTCGAGCACTCAGGCAAACTGCACCGGCACATGCGCATCCACACTGGAGAGCGGCCGCACCGGTGCAACGTGTGTGGCAAGACCTTCATCCAGTCAGGTCAACTGGTCATCCACACGCGCACGCACACCGGCGAAAAGCCGTACGTGTGTAATGTGTGCCACAAGGGGTTCACGTGCTCCAAGCAGCTCAAGGTGCACTCCCGGACGCACACGGGCGAAAAACCCTACGTGTGCGACATCTGCGGAAAGGCCTTTGGCTACAACCACGTCCTCAAGCTCCACCAGGTCGCCCATTTCGGACAAAAGGTAATTAAAAAATATATATAAGAAGATATGAAACTGATAAAATGATAAATTAAAAAGGACAGGTGACCTCAAAAGGTGACCTGTTCTTTATTTTTCATGAAATCTACTTTAAATTTACAAATAATTAAAGTAATTAATTTTTTTTCGAATTTTGTCCTCAGGTCTACAAATGCACCCTGTGCCACATGACCTTCAACTCGAAGAAGTCGATGGAGTCGCACATCAAGACACACTCGGGCAGCAACGAGGTGAACAACCACGCCGCCCAGCAGGCCATGCAAACACCTCTCGAAGAGTCTCCCTACGGACAGCCGGCGGCGCCTCGCGCCGAGCGGGTCTCGATCGACCCCGCCCTGCTGACGGCCATCGACCTCCGCGAGGGCACCCTTCGGCGCCAGCACGACGACGAAGACTCTCGGTCCTCCTCAGCGACGCCACCCCTCCGGGTGGACGAAGACGCGGCGCCAATTGAACCATCCATACGCCTGTGTCCAGACCCGCTGTCCATGCTCTCTGGGACGGCGCCAACAGACTACCTCTCCAACGGCGTCGCGGCGTCCGACTACCTGCTCTTGGAGCGGCGGAAAAGAGGGGTGCCCACCCCTCTGCCGACGCCGCCCAACTCTAACCCCGAGTCGCCGTCACCGTCGTCGTCGCCGGATCCAGGCGCCGACGACGGCGCCGCGGCACCGCGCAAACGCTCCAAGATGATCCTGCAGCGCTACCTGCAGGAGGCGCCGCCGCCGGAGCCGACGCCGGTGCGCAGTTCGTCGGTGATTCGGTTCGCAAAGCGCGACGCCCACTGAACTACCTCGCCATTCCAAAGCAATCGGCGCCTCCGCTGGACTCAAAGAGGGGGTGGAGGACTCGATTCGCAGCAGCATTTCGCGCCAGTTGTATAACAACAGGCGCCGCCCGGCGGCGCCTTGCGAAAAAAAAATCACGAACAGAATTTCCTCGATCGCGCCTGGCGCGAGTAAATTAACTTTTAAGCGTTATTACTAGAAGATAATTATTATATATTATACATATTGTGTAAAAAGAAGTCTTACTGAGAGAAAAAGAAGTCGAGCCGAGTACCATTGAAAATGGGAAAGGCCAAAATATATTTATATTTCAAGCGGAGCCTGAGAGGCGACGCCGGCAGAAAAAATTCACAACTCACGCAGATTAATTACAATGTAATACTAAGTAATCCACACACACCGCGTTTAAGATTATTATTATATATTTTACTTAATTTATTGCGACTTTCCGAGGGTCAGACTCCGAGGAAACGAGTTTCTCCTCGATAGACATTTAAAATTATATATTTAACCTTTTAACTGACGGTAATTGAATTTATTATTTTTGTTAGTCGCCTCTTCTAGTTTTTTTGTGCAGACACTGCTGTAAAAATGAGATTTTCGCCGTGAGTTTTGATATTTGAGCAGATTTAAGTTGATTTTTTCCGACAAAAGTATAATATATATAATGATCAGGGGCAAAACATATGTATGTACTATTTTAAGACTGCGAATTATTGCGACTCTGTTGCGGATCGAAACGAGCGCGACAAATCTGAATTCACTGACAAACACAAGACTGTCTTTTCTTTGATTGTTTCGATTTTTTCTGGGAGAGAAAACTAAAATAAAAAATGAATTTTTAACTTTTCGTTCCTCTAAACGGACTGATTATATGCAAAAGAAAAGTAACGCGAAATTTCGATCCGCGCGGTCGCGTCTGTCGATTGTTGCGAGCTCAACAATGTTAACTGCTGCAAAAGCTCAGAGCCCTTTCCAAACACCTACAAATGAATGCGCGACAATCGCACATACACACTCTGTAAAAACACACACACTTTAGCAGCAGATAAGTGAAAAAATAAAAAGATGTGTTGTTCTCGTCCTCCGCTGAACTTTGATTGTGTAACAATATATATGACAAAATAAGCGCAAAGACGTTTCTCATCTGCTCTTTTACCTTTTTGCCCCGAATTGATAAAAGATTCTATATCGTTTGTTCCCACATGTGCTGTTTGTCAAAATAATACTAAAAATCGTTAGCCTCAGACAGAAAAAAAAATGAAAGAGAACCACGCGTGTCTCTATAATAAATGTGTAAATAAGAAAAATATTATGTACCGCCACAAAACACGAGAATTAAAGTTCAAAACATTATTTACCAAACTCTAAAAGCAAAGTTTTTTACTCCAATTCCGCACCCTTAATTTTTTTTCATTTCATCAAATTATTAGACAAATACGAAGCAGATGAATAATTTGTGCAAGTCAACTGCGTTCGCAAGTGGGTCAATTGAAAACTGATTGGCCGCCGTGAAATAACAAATGCAAAAGTAGCCAATTCATTATTTTCCTAAGCTAGGCTCAGCCTAGGCAACCGCGCTCGCCTTCCGCGGGTCAGTTGCGAAAAGTGTGCCCTGTGCCAATTAGCTGCAGCAAGAGGAGAAGGGGCCCCCCTTCCCCTCGACCTTGCAGACTCGCGCAGGTTGCGAAATCTTCTTTTAACATTTATTTTCGAGCGCGCAAAGTAGAGACTATGGCTGGTTAGATGGAAAGTAGCCGAGAGCGCTTTTACTTTCTAATCAACTATACTTTTTTGCACTCTTCACATCCTTGCTCAACCAGAAAAATGTAGAGCTGGCCTATCTCAGCGCAAAATTATATCTTTGCAAATATTATGCAAATTTAAATTTTTCGGGCATATTTCATTTTTTTCCCTATTTTCAAGGACTTCTTAATAATCTACGTTATTTAATTTAATACATTAATGGTATTTATTATTTTCCTAGCATTTTTTTTTTCAAATTTAGGTATTAAATTTTTTAATTCTAAATCCAAATAATAAATCCTAGGCGAATTTCGCGGCAAGTGCGTCCTGCGTCAACTCTACTGTAATTCTCGTTTCAAACGTTATCCGTCGCGGCGCCACGTACTGAATGCGACACCCGAGCCTTCTTGGGTGGATCACAGGTGGGGTTGAAAATAAGAAAAATATTTAATTTGATTTCTTAATTTAATTAATTACTGCAAAACTGTTTCCATTTTCAGTTGATATCAATAAAGATAAAAAATACAAATTTTGTAAACTAAAAGCAATAATTTATAAAAGATCCATTATATTATTAACAGCAGTTGGGCTAAAACTAACACCTAGACGCTTTACTGAAACAATCATTTTAATACTTGTTCTCTTAGCCCAATTTGAAGGTTGGTTATAAGTAGGAACACTACTGACCGAAGGGCAAATGATGAACGTTTAAATGATCTTATGTGAGTTATAACACACGTTTTAAAGGCACTTGTGCCTCTATCGCATTTACTGATGCCCCTAAACCTACTTTAACCCACTTTCAACTCATCAATTAAACTTAATCTATAAATAATGTGGAAAGACTGGAGAGCCCAGCTGATATCTCTATTTCATTATTATAATTCTCAATATATAACTCAAATATTACTAATTGGCATCACCGAGAGATTCTGCGGCCGCTATAAAAGACGTGTATGGTACTGTCCTGTGTTTAATATCAATGCTTATTTGTTCAAATCCTTTATATTCTATATTTATATTCAATATTTTTATTTCCATAGTGATCAGATTGAAAAAATAATTGTGCATATTAATTGACTCTTTTTAAACATTACATATCAAATCATTTTAATGAATTTTGAGGTGTCTGTGATCTATTCAAATATTACAATTAAGTCTTAAAAAATTAATTTAAATGTAATTCATACTGCTTAATAGATACAGATGGGCAAATTTGACTCAAAACTCAACATTTTGTGTGCTCAAATTTATTTGGCTTTCTTAAAATCTAGCATTTAAAAAAGAATGTATGTACATCAATCAATCGGTGCGCAGCAAATTCAAAAACACGAATATACCTCGCGGCTCTCACGCTTGCTTTCGTACAATCGTTCATTCACCTTGTAAACGGATTCTCCTTAAAACGGCCTGGGAGGACCTAAAAATTTTATATTCATATTTAGACAAGGTAGAAAATCTTAGAATTAATAAGATATTTAGGAAAAGATAGTCAATACTGACAGGAGGTTTTGGTAACGATTTTAAAACAATTAAAAATTATGCACAGAATATTTAATGATAATTTGGTAGCTCAGCTTACAAAGACTAAAATAATGTATCTGATCTTTTTACATTGAATTTGGGTCATTGACAAAAAACAAACCTTGGGGAGGAGGACCTCTCATCCCGGGAGGAGGAATTCCACGGCCCATCACACCTGGTGGCATGCCTGAAATAATTGAATTGTTAATAATTTTTTTAAATTTTGCATTACAATCTAAATTTAAATTTCTTGAAACAGAATTAGGAATAAAAAGGTTTCCAGCTTTTGTAGGAATTAATTTTGTTTAAATCAAGTTGTGAATAATAATGCGTAAAAATTACCCATCATTCCTGGTGGTGGTCCCATCATACCTGGAGGAGGACCAGGCGGCATTCTTGGCATGGGTGGTCTTGGAGGTCCACCCATTGGGGGCATCGCACCCCGTCCGCCACCGGGAGCCATGACTTGCGGAGACGGTCCACCAACTCCTCGGACAGGACCTTGCAAGCCTGAAAAATTTTTTTTTTTAAAAGTATTTTCACCAGATAATTCAAAATCAAGAAAAAATAAAAATGAATTTCAATGGAAATTTTCACTCCAAACTTTCAGAATAATGATAATTAGGTCCAAATTTATTTTAATCAATAAACTTTAAATATACATTGAATATAAATTTTAAAGAGTGATTGTTATTACTTGAATTTTATAAAAAAAAAGGAATTATCAAGAAATTGTGGAAAATTCTAATTTTAAGTTGATTAAATTAAATTCTCATTATATTAATTAGATTTTATACCTGCGGGGACAGTAGCGGCTCCAACTGGAACTCCGCGTCCGGCAGCGCGCCCCATTCCAGGTCCAGGGGCCGCACCAGGGATCGGCACCCTAGGAAGACCCTCCTCAGGAGGCGGAGGTCCCTCAACGGTGAGTGAAACTATGTTTTCTCCTCGCAGAAGCACAAAGCCGAGTACGCGCTTCTCCTCCTTGTCGACGCCGCGAGCGATTTTCGACTTGACCCTGCGGAATTCCTCGCAGTCTCCCAGAATCAGGTTCATGTGCTTATCGAACGCCTTGAAGGTGCCGATGAAGGTGCGAGAGTCCTGCAGAATCACTCGCACTCGGTAGTTGATGTGCTGCAGCATCTTGTTGTTTTTGCCGATCGTCTGTGGAAACGATTAAGATTTTTCAATTACTGAATGTTTAAAGTACAAAAATTGCGAATAATTTTACCATTTTTGCGGATGTGGGCCCCGATGATTGCCGATGAAAAAATTGCCGGCAAACCGGCGTCCTCAACCCGAATTCCAAACAACAACAAATTAAAGTTCCCTTAATAAGCCGCTAGAGGCGCTTTCGTCGAATACAAAACGAAGCGCGGTAAAAACGGCGCACGTCGGAATCATAGCTCGTAATTTCTTATTGTATATTTTCTGGTATTAATTGTGGACAAGTCTACGTAAATAAGCCTTTATTTAATTTTAATTCGAGTGGGATTATTTTGGAAAAGGTTTTCATCGTTCAAATAGTTATCTGGCGATTAATTAATACTGTCCTATCTTGCAGACCACTTTTTAATCAAATGACTCTCAACTACTCCAGCCTTTTTTTCTACGCCCTAGTACTTGTAAAATTTTACTTAAAGATTAAAAAGAATCCTAAACTATACCTTAAAAACGGTTCTAATCTGGGTTAATTTGTACATTATATAGGGATAAATATTTTTTTATTTGAATATTTTAGCCTTTTATTAGTTGGCACTTTTTTTAAACATATCTCAGGACAATTAATTGTCTGCGTCACAATAAATTATAATACATAAGTCATTTAATATAATGATATGATTCTATATAATTTTGTTTTAAGTTTTAAAACATCTCGTGACAAATTTTGTTGCTAAATTTCTGTATTTAAATCACACCGTCGTCGACAGCTAACTTAATCATGTCCACAAGTCGCTTTACTTGCTCTGGCTTGGTGATTTCTTCGAAATGAGTCATGTCTTCCAAGGTGGACGCCTCCTTCTCACCGGTGTCGTCCAGATCTTTCACCTCGTCCTGATCCTGCATGGACACCGGCACCAACTCGATGGACAGACTCAGACCGAAGGCGCCTAATTTTGGCCACAACTTCAGCAGACGTTCCATAGAAAAATCCTCAGGAAAATCGACGTTCAACGCTTCAAAAACTTTGAGCACTTCGTCGTGGTAAATCCTCAAAATTCCTTTGACACCGCCCAAATTATTTCTGTGCTCGTCAGTGGTGCACGCGAAGATGACCGTCGAGACGTCCATCATCAAACTGGAGTGGCGCGTGATTTGGAAGTCGATGGCTTTGGCGATGGCGCCGGTTTTGTCGAACATGAAGTTTGCGGCCCACGAATCGCCGTGGTTCACCACACGCAACTCGTCGGCGGCCACGTACTCTTGCATCAGGGCGAACATGTGTTTGCGCTCGCTGAATTTCTTGAACCGCTCGAGGTAGTGAGTGTCGCCAAGCTCAGGTTGGACGGCGCGCTCGATGAGCTGTCCCAGGTTTTCCATATAATTTCCAATCCAATCGTCACCGTTTTCATTATATACGCCCTCCTAAAATCACAGAATAAGAGATTTTAAATTTTAATTGACATTCTGTCTACAATTTTCTCCATTAACAATTAAAGCTTTTAAAGAAAGAAAATAATCTAATCATATTTTGTACCAATAAATTTTTATTGAAAATCAATTAATGGAAAAATTGGGAAAAATGTGAAATGTGACCATTTAATTAATTAATAATTTTTTTTAATCTTTGACATTGACGATTAATGTTTATATCGTGTTAGTTTGAATTAAAACAATAAACAAGAAAAATAAAATTTACCTACGAATAGAGTTAATTTAAATTAAAATTTAAAATTAATTTATAAGAAAAATGATTGCAAAGTTATTAATTTTATTCATAAATCTGATAAATTAAACGCGAAAAGCTGGCGAAAAGGTTTAAAATTTAAGTTTATAAGCATAGAAGAAATTATTAAATTAAACAAAATATGAATTCCATTTTGATTTTGAACTCTAAAACAAAATTAAATTATTCATTTTTTTCATCATTTTTTATTTACACTTTACACTGCTTTAAAGTATTAGAAAAATATGTAATTTGATGCTAAATAAAAAAAAAATTATTTACCTTAATGTCTTTGGTGATTTCTTTGAACTTTTCCGGCTGGAGCACCTTCAGGCTGAGCGACAGAGCGTGGTAACGCGCCATCATTTTGAAAATAGAGATGGTCTGGATTGTGTTGAGACCGGCCTTCTTGTCGGCCATTTGAAAGCCCGACTCAAGCAGGTCCTCGAGCAGAAGGAAATCGTTCATGCCGTCGGACATGGCGTAATAACAGTCGGCCACGGACAGGTACGCGCCGCCGAGGGACCTCAGGGCGGGGCACACGACCGAGTAGAAGTGGACCTCGCGCGCGAACCACTCGTTGCACTTGAAGGCCTCTCGGCGCACCAGGTTCGCCGGCAACCCTTTGCCGATGAGTCGCAACTCGGTGCCGTCGGTCAAGGTCACGACGATGCGGTAAATGATGCCGAGGAAGCCGTCGCCCTTGGCCGACGCCGGGCTGACCTTTGTCCTGCTGATTTGCGGCATGTCATCCTTCTTGAGCTTCTTCCTGAAGATTTGCTGCGCGGCGTTTTGCAGAATTTCGGGCGTCAGTTTCGCCGAAATGGTGCTGAGCGTGAACTCCGCCTCTGCCATGGTCGGTTTAGCAACAGGCGCTCGAGAAGCTCCGAACGTTAGAAGGCCGAGTTAATAAGTTCAACTGTTGCCGATACCGTGGGCTATTCTCATTGGGGACGGGAATTTCTACTGCTCGCTCCTACTACAGAACCCGTTATCAGTGCCATGAACAAATAAAACACTTGACGCGCTCAAACCGCGACAGTCCTTTATTCGTCCTTCTGCGCTGAATAATACAGAGAGGCCAATTGTTAAATATATTAGCAGTTTTCATTTGCACATTTGAAATGTGGCTTGTATTTTTTTTTCCTTATCAAGGTTTGTCTCCTGGCGATATGTATTTTTTTTTTTACAAAATAAACAGAAATTATAAAAATGTTGTGAAATTAAAAAAAAAAACTGAAAGTTGAAAAAGTTTTTTGCAGGCAGCGATTTGATTATCTTTTGCTTGAAAATTCTTTATTTCTAAAAATTGTATAGTTTGATAAGTAAAATCCTTATTTTAAAATTATCAAGTTACACGTGTGCTGCTCTTTAAATAAGTTTAAAGTTAATTTAAACACTCAAAAACCGTTATCTCGATAAGAAAAATATACAGTATAAGTTTGATTCAATTTATGAACTGTGGTGAAATTATTTAATCGCAAATCATGAGGCCTTGAAGGTCTGAAAATAATCGCTAGTATGAATGTAGACAACGTGCTGTGCACGCGTGCAAAGAGTGTTGCATAAACTGTCATTTTTGTCTTTGATTATATGAATCTGATCTGATTAATGAAAGTCAGCAGTGACGTGTTTCTGGGTAGGATTATTAAATCAAGTGGCATTTTATATTGATTTAGAAAATTGATAATGTCATAATGATTACCATTAAAATATTGATCAAAAATGCAAAAAGCAACAATATAAAATGAAAATAGCGCCCAGCAGATGAATTTTTCATATTATCGTCAAGATAGCTGTTAATTCTTAACTTCGCTAAAATTAATCATCTCCCTTTATTGCCTATGGACGTTATTGCACTGTCGTAATTCACCCAAAGTGCATATAATCTTATGAATATTGATTGATCGTGCTATAATTTGTGCAAATAAGATTAGTCAAGATTAATCGAAAAGATAAAAACTCTTTAATAAATAGAACAGCAATTGATGAGGCAAGTTACAAGAATGCTCTTCCAGCGAGCCGCCTAATTAAGTTCTATTGACCACATAAGTACGGAATCGGTTGCGACAGTGACAAGGCCGTCGCTAGCAGGAGTCAACATGTTTGACGTGCTTATTAACTCCCCAAACTTCATTCCCTGATTATCTGGGAAATCAAAAAGAATATTTTTACTAAAAAAAAATCAGGCTAATTTATTTTTTTTACCCAAATTCCATTTAAGCCCGGAAGAGGATACGCTGAGGGCAGGGTTGCCGATGGGCACCAGACTGCAAATTTTGTTGTTGTAACTTCTTGGAATGATCATTTGGTGGTGCCCTTTGTCCAGCAACCACGAAATTGAATTGCTTGCAAGTTGGTAGACTGGACATTTAATAATCGCGTGGGACTTGAATAGTGTATTTATATTCGCCATAATTTGGTCTATTCTGCCAGACGTTTCTACCAATGATATCACAGCGTGAGGCTGAAATTTTGAATTTTTTGTTTTAGCAGTGACGAGCAGTTTTAATTTACTAAAAAAATTATAAAAATAAAATAAAAATTGAAATTGAGATAAAAAAAATATTCACCTCGACCCTTTTTTGAGCAAACCATGCGGCCGTTTCTTTGAGAGCCTTTGTGAAGTCAGTCTCGTCTTGATCCGGAGTATGTATCACGGAGGTACCAAGACTTTTGTAATGAGCTAAAGTTTCCTTTTGTACCGAGTCCAAGTCGCCAGTGATTAGATCGGGGATCAAATTTAGTTCGTGAACTTGGCAAAACTGCAGCCACCTGTCGCTTCCACCGTCAACAGTGATCCGTACCGCCGCTTTATAATAATGAAATTATTTTTAAACGTTTAAAATAAAATTTCTAAAAATAATTTGCGAAACAATTCAAGCAAAAACAAAATAACTTTCTTACCTCTTTTCCACAGAGAAATCACAAGTTCTGGTGTGCTAAGAATTGGCTGATTGAGGATGAGCAAAGCAAAGTTGATGTCGGAACCACTTTCATTGAACAAATCCTCAATTTTCCAAAAATACTTTGCGCTCTCCTTGCTCATCGTGGTGCTGATTTGCAGTCAAGTTTTTATGTGAGGAAAACGTTGACGCTCCGTTTTGTTTGCTCGGGCAGTTGCGGCAAGACGGAAGTCGGCGTTCGGTAAAAAAATATCAGCTCGATGGCAAGATATAATGCGACCACTGCTACATTATCAGCGAATTGTGAGCGAAACTTTACAATCGCAGAAATATTTTGCCGAGAAAGGGGTTTGGCACATTTCTTGCGCATGCGTGGTCGAAGCGCGCAGATCTTTCTTGCTAAATCGGAAAAAGACAACACAAACTTTTCCTATATAGATAGACAATCAATTTAATTGAAAACAGCATTTTAAGGACTTAGGACTTGATTAAAATTTATCAAATTTTCCAAATTTTCAATTATTTTTTATTTCGATTTATCTATTTTATTTTTGCTGTTTGTCATGATAAAAAAATAACTAAATTAATTAGAACTTTTTATATTCATTTGAAAAATTCAATAAAATTAATGGTAGTTTTGAGAGTAAAAAAATAAAAGATAAAATAATAATAAAAACTTCCTCACTTCATACGTTCAATTGATTTCAAATTAAAAAAGACAATAATTTTACATTAAATTTTCAATTTCATTTTATTTTTGGTGGATATTTTAATGAATCAAATTTCTCATTAGGAATAATGTAAAAATTAAAAATTGCAATAAATTTTTTTAATATGAAAAAGGTACATTACTCATCTCTTGCCTTTGCCTTTGCTGCCACTTCCCATCATTTTACTACTCTTAATTGCCTTAATTTTGGCCTGGAACAAAAAAGTTGCAAATTAAAGCACAAGTTTATCATAATTTTGAAATTTAGATGTAAAAAGTTTTTGAATATTTGAATCTTACTTTATCGACTTTTCCATATTTCCCTAAAATTCCCGTCTTCAATTTGTTTACAGCCTTAGGAGTGCCCTTTGTCTTTTTGCTGGGTGCAGTTCCAGAGCCCATTGTTCTCCCCGATGAGGTTTTCCTGCCCGTTCGTTTCAGAATTTTTCCAAGAGACCGAAGTTTTTCCTCTTGCTCCTCAATCTCTTTCTCGGCCGCCTTTTGAGCTTTCAACTCTCTGAAAAATATGAAATATAATTATTAAGAAACAAAAATATTCAAATAAAAAAAATTACTTGTAATTAACGGCCGATCGCTTTTTGGGTCTGGCCCCTAAGCTGAGGGCCAAAGCCTCCTTGGCCTCCACTTTCGAAGCAGCCTTCAGAGAAGTCATGGCCAGTTTCGTGACTTCGAACCGCGCTTTTTTCATGCTGAATGGTTTCTGGGGTTCTGAATGTTGATCTACAGGCTTGAGACTGATCGAGTCAAGGATTGGCTTGCTGGGTTGTTCCTTTTTCGATCGACGTTCATTGAAAATCACAACTTCCACAGGAGACGGCTCGTTCAGACGAAACGCAGCCGCTTTTGTCAAAACCCGAGTTTCCATTTCTTAATTCTGCAACAAGATTAGATAAGAAGAAAATCAGAAACATGAACAATTACTTACTTTAAATGTGACACAGGATTTTAATGAAATTTTGAGCCCTCAGAAGTCTTCCGCATGCATGGCTGCATGCAACGCTGCATGCATTTGCCTTTCCGCAGTTTTGTTTTTGTTGTGGTTGGCTCCAAAATGCCAACGTAATAAAGTTCAAAGTGTGTATAATTTCACTATCTCTTTATGTTTTACTGAGACCAATAGTTAATTTTTTATTTATATTAGAATTATAACACAAGCAGTATTGAAATAAAACTTTTTTAATGGCAAAATATGCACCAAAAATAAATATTCCAATTTTAATTAAGTTGGCAACATTGCAGGTAACAACAATTTTGAGTCCATGTGCTCGTCTTTGTCTTGTGCCCATGTGCGTTGTGAAAAAAATCAACAAATTTGCAGTTTTTTACATTAATTAGCTGAGGAGCTCGTTTTGCTCAGCATGGAAGAACACCAGGCGCCGAGTCTTCGGCACCTGACGTCCCCGACGTTCGGAATTCCGCCGGAAAAGCCGAACCCGGTGCTCGAGTCTCTCGGGACACCGCACATTGAATCGTTCAACTGGATGCTGAGCGACGGCTTTGAATTGGTGACCAAGTACCTGGAACCCTTGCAGTTTGAATTGCCCGACGAAAAGACGCGCGTTTCTTTTTCCATTTCGGTTCGTACCAAAATGCCTGGCTCAAATTTTTACGCAATTTAAAATCTTTTAGGACTTGAAGCTGCACAGACCAGCCATTCACCAATCTGATGTTCCGATCAAGAGTGTGCTTATCCGGCCGAGCGAATGTCGACAACGAGCCGAAACCTATAAGGGACTTTTTACGGCCAAACTAAGCTGGACGTTAAATGGCGATCCTCGAACGCCTATCAATTTAAATCTAGGCGAGATTCCTGTTATGGTTAAGGTATTTATTAAGTCTTATCATTTATATTTTATCAATTTGTTGTAATTAATTTAAAATTTCAGTCTAAAGCGTGTCATCTGAGTGACATGTCTCCCCGCCAACTTGTGAATGCTGGTGAGGAGGAGGACTGTTGGGGCGGCTTTTTCATAATCAAAGGACACGAGCGGCTCGTCCGCATGCTGATCAGCACAAGACGCAATTTTCCGGTGGCCCTGCAGCGAGGCTCTTGGAAAAACAGGGGTCCGTCCTTCTCCGACCTAGGCATTGTGATGCGTTGTGTGTCCGAAGACTTGCGATCTGTGGTACGTTTTAAAATTTTACATTGAAATTGAGCTTCATAATTATGTATTTGTATTTTTCTCAGAACAATGTGGTGCACTTTTTGCTCGATGGCTCGTGCAAATTCATGTTTTCCCACGAAAGGACTTTGTGTTTTGTGCCCGTCAGTGTGATGCTGAGGGCACTGAGTGAGCGCAGTGACCTCGACATATTCCACAATCTGCTGCATGGCGCTGAGGACGATCAATACTATCAGGGGTAGTTTTTCCAGGCTAATTTTTGTGTGTCCATTGACAGTGAAAATTTCAGGTGTTTGAAAACAATTTTGCGGCAGGCCCATGACGAAAAGGTTCACACAAAGCAGGACGCACTCAAGTTCCTTGGGAGTAACTTTAGATATAAATTTCGTCGACTCCCAACTTGGTACACGGATGAAGAAGTTGGAGAGTTTATAATTAGGTGATGAGCATTGAGAATTTTTACTTGTTTATTCCTTGGCCACTCATCTAACTATTCCAATCATCGCGCAACAGGCTACGGGACACATATTTGATTTGGGCTGTTTAAATTTTCTAAATTAATTAATCATTTTGCAATTTTGACTTCTATTTTCAGACGCTCTATTTGCATCCATTTGGAGAACGACGAAGACAAGTTTGAGTGCATTTGTGAGATGGTGCGCAAGTTGTACGCATTAGTACAGAATAGAATCAAGACCGAGTCGGCGGACAGCGTCATGATGCATGAGGCCCTGCTTGGTGGAAATCTGTACATGCAAGTGATTGGAGATAAACTGGAAAAGTGGCTCATCCTTCTGAAGTCTGTCATGACAAAACGAATTGCTGCCAAAGGAATAAAAAACTATCATTTAAATCAAGGTTGTCAATCTAGATTTAATTTAATTTTTATTAAAAAAAAAATCATAACATTTTAGAGGAGCTGGAAGCCTGCATCAAGCGTTGTGGCACATTTGAGAGTTCAATGGCTAATTTTTTGGCCACTGGAAATCTTGCAACCATCTCAGGCTTGGGACTTATGCAAGACAAAGGTTAGATTTTTCTAATCTTTAATTCTAATTTTATTTGACTTAAAATTAAATTTTCTTCAGGGTTGACCATTGTGGCCGAGAACATTAACAGAATGAGGTACATGTCCCATTTCCGAGCCATTCATAGAGGCTCATTCTTCCAAGAAATGAGGACAACGGACGCTCGTCAGCTTTTGCCAGATGCTTGGGGTTAGTATTTGATTTGTGATTTTTATAGTTAAACCCAAATATCAGGTTCCAATTACATTTTATTTTATTCTAGGCTTCATCTGCCCTGTCCACACCCCTGATGGAACGCCCTGTGGTCTTTTAAACCACTTGGCCAAGAACTGTATTGTAACCACTGCACCTGAGAAAATCGACGAGCTGCCCGAAATTTTGCGCTCTCTGGGCGTTGTTCCTATCGAAGACCGTCCTGCAGCCAACAACCACTACTTTGTGCATGTGGACGGTCGAGTCATGGGGGTGATCAAGCGGGAAAAAGCACAAAAGATGACCAACACCCTGCGCCTCTTGAAAATCGAAGGCAAACGAATAAGTTCGGGCGTTGAAATTTGCCTGATTGAAAAGGAAGAAGGCGTTCGTGGCCAGTATCCAGGCATTTACATTTTCTCCGGAGCCGCTCGCTTCATGCGACGCGTTCTTCACATTGCCACGCGGAAAATTGAAATGCTCGGCTCTTTGGAGCAAGTCCGGCTGCAGGTGGCCGTCCGTCCCAAAGAGGTGGCCGAGTCCAAGGCCACCCACCTCGAGCTCTCACCCACAGCCTTTCTCAGCCTCTTGGCCAACTTGATTCCCATGCCTGACTGCAACCAGAGTCCCCGAAATATGTACCAGTGTCAGGTTGGATTTGAAAAGAGATCAAAATTCCTTTTTAATCAAAATGTTCAATTTTAGATGGGAAAGCAATCAATGGGAAATCCAACTCATGCCTGGAGATTGCAAGCTGAAACAAAATTGTACCGATTGTTGACTCCTGCAGCGCCACTTTTTAGAACTGCCCATTATGATTCCGTCAACCTAGACAATAATGCCATGGGCTTGAATGCAATTGTTGCTGTCATTTCCTACACAGTAAGACTGAATTATAATGTTTAAACTATAAAATTAAAATAATATTACAGGGCTATGATATGGAGGACGCTATGATCATCAACAAATCTTCTTACGAACGAGGACTTGGCCACGGCTCCATCTACAAGTCTGAATTCATCGACCTCACTCCAGTAAGCAAAATAAGAGTCCTGTTTTTAAAACCTATTAAATTATCCCTGATTTTGCAGAACTCTTATTTTGCCCTTGACCCTACCAAACCTGAGCTGACAGAGTTTTTAGACCACGATGGTCTTCCCTTCATTGGTTGTCATTTGCAAGAGGGTGACCCTATTGCCTGGTAGAGAACTCATTATAATTTATTGTAATTTTACAACATTGATTTGTTTAGTTCCTACGACATGGCAACTAACACATTCAAAGTTCACCGGCACCACAGCAAGGAAGAAATTTTGGTGGACAATGTCAGACTTTGTGGTGTGCCACAAACTAGAACTCGAGGAGGTCACGCACCGAGAGTGTGCATCACCTTCAGAGTGCCTGTGAGTGCCAACTGGAAATTATAGAGAGAAATATTAATTTAAATTTCCAGAGGAACCCCACAGTGGGTGACAAGTTTGCCAGCAGGGCTGGTCAAAAGGGCATCTGCAGTCGAAAGTGGCCGACCGAAGACCTTCCATTCACAGAGTCTGGCCTCACCCCGGACATTGTCTTCAACCCCCACGGTTTCCCATCTCGAATGACAATCGGTAATATTTGGAATAAATTGTTTATATTTCATTTTAAATTGAATCTCTTTGCAGCTATGATGATTGAGCTTATGGCCGGGAAATCGGCAGCTGTGCATGGAAGAGTGCACGACGCTACTCCTTTCCGCTTTTCAGAGCAAGACACTGCCATTGATTATTTTGGCAAAATGCTTGTCGAAGGTCAGTTCAATTTATAATTTATTAAAATACATTTGTTTGATTAATTTGAAATTTGGTTAAAAAAAATTATTCAAAATGAAGGTTACTGATGAATTTAAAGACAATTTAATTTTAATTGTGTATTTTTTTCACACACATTTTTCTTGAATTTTGAGCAATTTTTTTCATTTCAAGAATAAATTTGCTTAAAAAATTCAACCTCAAATAATACTTTGAAATTGATTTTAGCTGGCTACAGTTATTATGGCACCGAACGAATGTACAGCGGTGTGACCGGACAAGAGATGGAAGCTTCCATCTTCTTCGGCGTCTGCTACTACCAGCGACTGCGCCACATGGTGTCTGACAAGTGGCAGGTGCGGTCGGTGGGCCCTGTCGACCCTGTGATGCGGCAGCCGGTCAAAGGTCGGCGCCGAGGCGGTGGCGTCCGTTTTGGCGAGATGGAGCGCGACTCGATCATTTCACACGGCGCCTCCTTCCTGCTGCAAGACCGACTTTTCCACTGCTCAGACAAAAGCCAAACCATGTGTTGCACCAAGTGCGGCAGCGTCCTCAGTGTGTGTCTCGTGCCGAGTAAGTTGGGCGTCCCCGAGGCCCAGAACTGTCGAGTCTGCGGCCCTGGCGCCGGGGAAGTGAAGAGCGTCGAACTGCCGCACTCCCTGCGCTATTTGGCCGCTCAACTTGCTTCTGTCAACATTTCGCTCAAACTCGAGCTCACCAGGTGAAGAGACAAGAGAGACGCCTTTGAAGAGATCCAACATCAACAACTGCTGTGAGTTTTCAATTAAAATTTATTATTACCACTTGTTTTCTTTTATATGAAATTCCTTCTTTTCAAATTCCTTTCCTAAATAATTGGGAGGGTTTGTCTATCACTAAGAAGGTTCCAAAATCTTTAAAAATAGCAATTATTATTATCATTTTATTTGTCAGCCTAGAGCTGAAAACGTATAATTTATAATTCAAGTTAACAATATTACGTTTCTTCAATTGTCAATTTACTATAACATTTGATTTAAAGATTTAATTGATGGGAATAGAGATTTAGTAAGGTTTTTGCGTTCTAGATAATCTAAAATATTTATAGCAATTGAAATGCCAAAATTTTGTCATTTTTTGAATTCAAACTCAATTCTCTGCGAATTAATAATTTATTATTAAATCATTCATGCCTAAATTAAAATTTTATAAATTAATTTATAAAATTGAATTCAACACAACTTAAAATTAAATATTATTATAAATATTAATTGATTCAGTTAAAAAATAATTAATTTATTAATTTAATTAAAATTAAATGTATCATCTTTTTTACGGAATAACATTCTGTGACTTTTCCCCGGACACTCGTATAATTTTTATAGACGAAAAAAAATGAAATTTTTTTTATTTCACCACACACCGGTATAATGTGTCACGTGTGTGATTCACTTGCGAAAATTGTGCATGAGTATGTATGTAATTACCGAGGATATAAAATCCCACCTCAGGCTCGCGTTTTTTCGTTTTATCTCGTTCGACTCGTTTCCGGCGAGCAACAGAGGGGCCGAATGTGACGAACTTTTGTGTTGCTACGCCGTCTCGGCCAATGGGCGCGCGGTGCTCGAGCGAGCCGCGCGCTCATTGGCTCGGCGCCGCCAATGAGAGTCAAAGTGAAAACCAGCTGTCAGAGCGGAGCGAGCCACAGTCGATTGTCGGCCGGGTTAGTGTCAAGGAATCGCGTCGGTCCAACTGCGAGAAGGCGATGACCGGCGACCAGATTGCCGACGGTCCCAAATCAAGACTGAATCAAGTTTTCCACAAAATCTCTTGGTCGGAGAACGGCGAGAAGATGACGGACGGCGGCGTTTTGGCCGAGAAAAAGGCCGCCCAAAGTAAGTTCAAACTTGCAACTTTCGGGTCATAACGGTAACGGTGTCGGAGAGAGCTGGAGAAGGTCGAGTGCCGAACAACGAGCAGGCCGGCGACCGGTTCAGCTTCGTTTTGAGCTAAAAATTCAGTAAAATCAACGCATTTTCAAAGTATTTCACAATTATTGTCAATTTTTTAATTATATTTCAAACTTGGAGAAATTTCCAGTAAATTCAATTTCTCCTAATTTCAAACCAGTTTTTCAAGTTTTTAAATTCGTGTTTCGGCCTGAAAATCGGTTTGTAGGAAGCGAGAGGGTTGTTTAATCGAATGATGCAATTTTCGCGCAAATCCGAACAAGAAAAATCTAGAAACGGCGGTTTTAACTTTTAACCCATTAGAGTAGAGGCAGCGAATTTATGACAGGCGATCAGGGGATAAGCGAGCAGCGTCGGAGGGGAGGGTCATTCATATATAGTCGTGCGGGCTGGAGGGGAGTCAGTTGTACTATGGCTGTGGTGGAGGATAGGTTCAGGCCCAGACACTCGAATCAGTCCAGCAATAATGGTAAAAAATTTCAGAAAATTTGAATCTTTCAAACTCAACTTCAATTTAAACTTAAAACTACTTCAGGGATTGAAATTTACTTGTGGGAATAATTGTCAAAAAATCAAAACTGGCTCTAAATTTGATATTTTTTTCGACTTGTTGGACTCGGCGTCCCCAAGCTTCGGCTTCGGTTCCGAGTATTTCAGTTAATTTTGCATATTTTCGGTTCGGTTTAAGATTTTTATCAACTTTTCCATCCAAATATATAAAACTAAGCAATATTTTATAAAATTTAACTAAAAATTTTAACATTGGATTTTTTTTCTCTTTTTTTTAGATGGACTGGTGCAACGGGAGGAGCTTTGCCCGTGGGACTCTGACGAGTGTTTGGACGGAGCGGCTGTGCTAGCCGGCCGCCTGGAGGAAGCCCTTCGCAGGGCCAAGTCTGAGCATTTGTCCTGCGGCGAGGTCCTTCTTCCGGCGACCCTTCTGCCGAGGGTGGCGCGAGACGTGGCCCGACTGGCCGAGGACGAGCCGTGCGGCCTCCGAGGCTGCCGGCTGGTGCTGCAGCTGGACGACGCCAAGCGGCCGCTGGGCTGCGTGCCCTGCGAGGCCGTGGCCACCTTCGAGGTGTTCGTCACCCTGAGGCAAGACCTGAGCCCCTGGCAGGCGCTGCTGCCGCAGTTCCTCAAGAGGAAGGCGCCGCCGAGCACCGTGGTGCTCAGCCCCAGCTACGAGGTGCGCAAGAGGAAGCTCTTCAGATAGAGGAGGCCCTTCCTGGCGCCCGACCTGAGAGTACGTGATGACCCTGATCTCAACCAAGTATTCTGCGACACTCTGCGCAGCGCAAGCAAGAGAGAGAAGAGAGGACCTGAATTTTATACATTGTATAATTAATGAGAGAAAAAAGAAATAATAATTGAATATTTTAAATGGATTCACTACTAAAGTGCCGAGCTTGAGAGTCGCAAGCCTCGGACGATACTGAAGATTACATTGCTGATTGAAAAATGATGATAATGATAATAATAAATGGAAAATCGATTTATATGTTTAAATACGAAACACATGTTTGTCTAATTTAATATCAAAACCCTGATATCAAAAACTTGAGTTGATTGAAAATCAAAATAATTGCGAATCAAATTAGATATTCTTTAAAAGAAATTTGGTGTACTTGTTAAAACTTGGTGATTATAAAAGAAATTTGAGAAAAGTTTGATTTCATGAAAGAATTTAAAATTAATAAAAAGTAACTTTGAATTTTTCAAATGTCTATGAATATTTAAGTTTGATATGAAATATATATAAGTTAAATAAAATAATGATAAGTAAAGAAACACTATTCATTTATTAAATTTCATTAATTTGTACAGACATAAATTGCAATTAGATTATAAAAAGGAATTAAAGACTAAACAAATTTTCATAATTTGTTAAAATTAATTTGAAAAATGATAATATGTAAAAATAAAATTTAAAATTTGTGACTGAACTAATTACGCTGAAATTTTTATTTGGTAAAAGTTCCTTTGAATCGGGAACAATATCAAAGATTCGTTTATATTTTTTTAAATTCAAAAATAATTGAAATTTCCATGTTTTCCCGGCTTAACGCATAATATTGTCAGTTTCCACATTATTTAATTATCTACTTAATTCAATGCATTATGCAGTACAAATGCCCGGGCCAGCTGACTGCATTAAAATGCACCCCGAAAAACAGCAGCAGTTTTTACACAGCCTATCTTTACACGATTTTTCTATCCACCCTCTTGCATCGAGAGCTGCATTTCCTGCTAATTATTCAGAGTGCACGGCTTGGCATTCACTTCCAAAAAGGCATGGAAATGCATTTAATAATCCGGACCAGCATAATAAAAGTGCATTATGTACGTGAGCGAGCGAGAGAGCGGCTCGGCAGTTGCCAAGGGGAAACAATTCGGAGAGCTCGAGCGAGAAACTCAATCAATGCTTTCGGTGGTGGGTGCATTTTCGGCAGGCCGGCCTGGCAACAGGGGATGCATTTTGAGTGCGGTCGGTGCAGCTCGGTTGCCATGGCGACGCAGGGGTTGGCCCAGGTTAGTGAGAGTTGGGGTGCAGGGGTGCACTTTCAATGCTCAACGTTGCGGTGGGGCAAGAAAATTATGCAATTTCGTTGCAGCGGCGGTTTCTCGTGCTCGGACCGGAGACAATGCAATTTCGCTCGCCGCGCGAGTCCCAACTGACCACTTAATTGCGCGCGTTATTCTCTGTGATTGCGTGTGTCCGCAAAGTATATATTTAATGCGATTAGATGAAAAGGCCTTTCTGCAAACATCATGAATTTATGACGAGCGGCCCCCGAGAAGGGGTGTCGGGGGATTTGCGCCCCCCGAGCGTTTCGTTTTTACGACTTTTTTATTTGACGAGAGAGGATGGATTTTTGGCGCTTGTGTGAATGTTTAATACGTGCAGAGGAAGTTCGGTTTTATGATTTCATTCGTTCTGCTGCTGCAGTCCCGATATATAGAGAATTGTCAAATAAATTTCGGCTTTGGAAAAGCTTCGGATCGAAAAAGCGTGGCTCATAAAATTCGGAATTGAAAAGCATGAGAAGAAATTCGCCAATTTTATATAGGGGATGGAAAAGAAAAGTTTATGGTCGCTACAGAAATTACAGAATGTTTTTTATATAATTTGAGAACTTATTTAAAATAACATACAAATGGGAAATCAATATCACAAAAAATTCAATTTAATTTTAAAAATGTTCGAACAACTTTTTTGCTAAAATAATTATATAAAAATAAGATATTTCAAATTATTATTTATATATATTTATTTTTAAATAATAAAGAAATAAAATTTATATAATTATAAATTTAATTAAAACATCAATAAAGACATAAAAATATTTGGAATATATAATTTTTTTTTTAAATACTTCAATATTATAAAACTCTCTTTAATTTAATGCATGATTAATAAATATTAAAGAAAATAAATAAACTTATAAAATAAATTTAACAAAAATAATTTTTAAAAACTATGTAGATTAATTATATGGTTTAGATATTCTCGATAATTAAAAATTCTCCAATTTTGAAATTTAAAATTTTTAGCAGTTAAAATAAAACGGATTCATAAACATTTTTTTTCTATTTAGTGGTAAATCCTTCTCAGTTTTGATAAATTTATATTGTTTTTTGCATTCAATTTATTATTGTTAATTAGGTTCGGTGATAATTTAAACACTAAATTGATCGATATAATAAAACAACAAAGGATATTGCAAAGTCGTGAGATATTTCTATGCGTCAGTGAAATAACTCGAAAATAACTTTCAGGTCAAACAAATCACTGCTAATTTTCCTGCAGAGAATGAAATTAGTAATTTTCTGTGGAAGTCGGTGCAATAATTTGCTGCCTTTCCAGCGAAAGAAATGCAAAAGTAGCGCATGTGTGGTCAACAAAGCAGCTGATTTCTCGACAGGTACTGATAATCATCGCCGAGCGTTAATTTCCTTCTTATGAAGTGTTTAAAAGCTTCCTTTGTTTCCTCCTGAGAGACGAGCCGCGCGGAGAACAAAAACGCAGATATTTTCACGCATCCACGACTTTTACAACAGCACTTTTGAATTTACCATCAGAGAAAAAAAACCTTCCACAAAAGACACACACGCGTGTAACAAAGAAAACACATCTCCAAAAGTTGTTGTTTTTTTAACTGGCGATTGTCATGCAAATTCGCTTTCCCAGCCTTGTTTTCTGGCTGAAAAAATTTCGAAACGACTCCCTTGGCAACAAGAAAGAAAAGCCAAAAGTGCTGGATCGGCCCCAGTGGAGTCGCAGTCAAATAAATTCGCCTTTTCGGCTGACGATATTGAAAAGTGAGAGAATTTCTAAAAGTTTCAAAGATAAAACTGTGAACAAACCGCTCGTGACAGGAATAAAAGAACAAGTTTAATAGTCCGAAGAGGAAAATATATGAAATGCGCAAGTTGCCGATTATCTGGCATTCGGCCTAGCAGGGGCTGCTTTTGTGCAGAGCCAACTCTTAAAAATGTTTTATGTACTTTAGGCCGTGAACAATTTTTTAACGCATCCAGCTGTGACTCCTCTCTCTCTCCCATATTACTATATACGCACGTCGGCCCTCGGGCCCCTCTCAACGTCGGGCCGCGCATCACCCCGGACAAGGTAATAATATCTTCGCCGTGACTGATACGCATTTGAAAACGTCCAACCAAATTCATTCACACGCCAAAGAAAAAAATTCCTATGCAAGCAAGAAGAGTCCGACACTTTGAAGGACTGCAATTTTATTTCAACACATTTTACTCCACAAAAAAATTTAATTTTTTTTTAAATAAAGTCATGGTACATTTAAATTTTTTTATTTATTCGGTGGAGGGGGAAAGGATGGAGCTGCTCTTTATATGAAATCTACGTTGTGAAATATTAAAAAAAAAAATTTGTATAAAAAATGTAAACGTTTTGGCCTGGCACTTGAGGTGGCTCGGGTCGACGTAAACGCTGCTGGCGAGTTTCCTTTCCTTTCCTCTAGTTTGCTGCGTAACGTGGGGGGAGAGGGAGGGTTTTAGGCATACATATATTATTCCACACGTCCCTACCCTGCTTTTAAGGGTGAGAAATGGTAGATCATTATCTCTCTGCGCGCGGCTACAACGTTGCTTAGCCAGATTCTATCTGTTCTTTTCAGAGTTGTTTAATGCGGCAATTTCCAGCGGCAATCGTCTTCTTTCTTTCTCGTTTTATTCAACAGAGAGCCTCTTAAGATTATTCGTACTCGCGGAGGGATGCTGCGTAAAAAACGGATTTGCACGACCATTCATATGCTGGCGGTACGATTCTTCCCTTTGCAAATTGCATTTCGCTCCCCCTTTTCTCGTCGAATTCCAAACTATACAAATTATTTCTTTTTACGCTCAAAAAGCGTGACTGTCTTTGAACTTTAAATTCATTTCCGAATCACCGAATTTCACTATTTCTAAATAAAATAAATATAGCGTCAATATTTATTATTAATTTTTATGTGATGAAGAGCAATCATTAAAATTAAAAGGCGATTGGCGATCTCAATGGAACTTTAAAGTGCATTATTCCTCAAATCTTTTTCTGCAAGATTGCAAAAGTTTAAGATTTCTGCTAGAAATGAATTTGGGAATTTTGTTTTATTATATAATTTTAAGTTTCTTATAATGTTATAGGGGAAAAAAAGAGAAAACATGTCTGAAAAAAGATAAAATATAGAAAAAATAACCTGAAAAATAGCAGATTAATGCATTTGAGAGCTACATAATAAAAATTATTTAATTAATTAATTGCTTTAAACACATTCTATATTTATATACATATTATTATTAATTAAATTTTTTATATATATATTTGCTTATATATTTTTTGTTTTATTATTTATTTACATCAATTTTATATCTTGGCTAAAAATAATTTTGTTAAATATATTGCCTCCTTTTGATTTAAATAAAGATAATTAGTTATTCTTTATATTTATAAATTCAATGCATATCAATACTAATTTTTAATTTAATTTAATATTAATAATATAATTCCGAATTAGAATTTTTGAGTTTATTGATTGCATTTAAATAATTATGAACTGTACAATTATGAAATTACAACAAAATCAATAAGTATTAACCTGTCAAAAAATGGTGGAAAGAGAATTTTACCCACAAATTTCAACTGAATGAGAGTTTCCGTTTTGAAATTTCAACTATAACGCGGACTGGTTTGAGTAAATATTATAATGAGAAGACTTTCGCTTAACGACAATGGCGCTTTCTGCTGCGTTAATGGTGTGTCTGTTCCTGGGCGCCGCTGCAGGTTCGGCCATGGCGACAAAGCTAAAGTAATATTAATTTTGGTCCCCGTGCGATTCGGCTGCATTAAATGGCCCCCAGCTTTGTATGTGAATGGAAGTGCATTGGCGCTCACTCAGTCAGTTTTATATTCATCCCCCTAGCAAACGAGCTGACTCCTTCTTTTCACCATGCTAGCTGTTGCCAGGCAGGCGCGGCGTTCAATTATGCTTCGGCTGC